AGTGATCGGGATAATAACCGCCAATTGACAGTAAAAACCGATAACAATGTTTTAGCACTTAGATATGTTTACAGATACACCACAGCAGTTGGACTACTCCAAAATGCTACGGAGGTCTCGATTGAGACACGAAATGGCGTCATTGATGTTGTTCTTGTCGACTTGAGCATATATCTTGAGATAAGATAAGATGTACGAAGTTGAGCAGTGAAAGACTTAATTAACAACGTGATGAGAAGGGGAGAAAGTATGCCGCCTTGCGGAACACCAGTAGTTAAGTCACACTAATCAGAAGTGATCTGATTAGCGCGAACCGCCCTCTGGCGTCCACGAAGAGCTGAAGAAGAAAGTCGAATGTCAGTGAGGATCTATATCTCATGTAACGAGTAAAGGTGCCTATCTAATGTAATTTCATTACTTAAATTATTAGTAATTTCATTACTACCACTACACCAATAAGATTAATGAAACTCATTAAACGAAACGTGGTTAATTAGTTATTATATTTTAGGAATAAACTAATTAGTCTTTTTTGTGTATTTGAAACTGAATATAAACACATGCCACTGCTAAAAGCGTGTTGCATCTTTTCTTTCATCATCACTTATAATTATTAGCATTGTTATGCCGCTTATAATGTATTATAGATAGCACGCAAATTGAGTAACAACATTGTCTCAATATTATTGTTTTAATTAATCATTTGTTTATACAATTGCAATAGTAACTTGTTTCTGACGTAGATATGTCAATCAACCACTCACTATAACCTTAATGATAAAATATCATATATCTATTAAAGAAACGTGTCAGTCAACTGTCAACGAAATTGTCTGCCTATTGTTTGTGTCGTACTATGTCCGGTATTCACATGATATAATTATTTTTTTATTTATCGAGACATAAAACACACCCGAAATCAATATAAAATACATTCAGATAATTTATTTAAATAGTAAATAAAAACTCTTTTTACATACTTTTCCCCTTATTTACTCAGAACTTTGAAATACCGTATAACCTAGCTAATAAAAGTTTGTTGTATTGAAGACCATATACAAAAACTAGGTTGCTAAAGAGAGAAAGACGTAGCTTAACTAAGGCGTAACTATATCAATTCCTTATCACGTAGGTATGAAACCCTAATAATGATCTACGCAGTTTTACGAAATACAATTCAGGTGTAAACGCAAACACGCAGTATCTAGTTACAATTGTCCGAACCCACTCACTGTGACTTCAAAAAAGTTCAGAGTATCGCATCGCGCAAAAAAACTTGGTCCGAGTATTGTCTATTGTTAGAAAATGGCCGCCCATATGAGCGATAGTAACTTGAGTGTGGCTGGTGCGATCTCGTGGGATCCAGGGTTGCAGGCGACGGAGCGCGTCGCGTCTGTGAGCCGCCATGACGTTGCAGTTAGCCATACGTGTCAATGACCACAATTCCGAGCAATATATGATTTTGAATTATAAAATCAAGAAAATTATTGTGTTTTTTTTTGCTAAGTGGATCACTTGATTACGAAACTTATATCAATAATTTTTTGTTTAAAAATTTGTTATTTGTATACTAGCTTTTGCCCGCGACTTCGTCCGCGTGGTAAACTTACTTTGAGCAGCATTTCTAACGAATATTTATTCATTATATCGTGTTAAATACCTGAAATAAAGTTTCATCCCCTATTTTATTCCCTTAGGGGTGGAATTTATCAAAAAACCTTTCTTGCGCCTACGTCATAACATGTACCTGCATGCCAAATTTCAGCCCGATCGGTTTAAAATTGACAAACTTTCAACCCCGATTTTATCCCCTTGGGGGTTGAATTGATCAAAATCCTTTCTTAGCGGATGCCTACGTCATAATATTTACCTGCATGCCAAATTTCAGCTCGATCCGTTCAGTGGTTTGGGCTGTGCGTTGATAAATCACTATGTCAGTCAGTCACTTTTGAGTTATAAAAATTTAGATTCTTTTAATCCCAATCTATAGTTTCAGAGACGATAAATACATAGTATAGTTTCGATCTAATTTGACCTATTAAACTACGAGTATATTAGTTCTACATAAAGAGGTAGTTTCAAACTTTATGAAAAATCTTTCAACTACAGAAAGCTAGATCATAAGAGAGAGATATAGGTTATAATTTAGGCAGGCGAACTCGCAGAAAAACAGTGTTAAATAAGTTTCAATACTTATTTAAGTGAAATGTCGCATGATACAGTTTATAAAACTTTTAATGTGCGCGCATTGACCGCGTCGTAATTTGTCTGTAAAGTTGATAACCTTACACAGCTGTATATAGTAGTGGCAGTCTTAGGCGCGGGCGCAAGCAACGACACCTCGGCCATGGTAGTCTGTTACCACATTCCATTGCGTAGGCGTTTATCATACGAGTATTATATGTACTTACGTTAAGAAAATAGATCATCAAATGCTAATCACTAAAACATTTAATTTGAAACTAAATATAAAAAAAAATATTCCCATCATTATGAAAAAAAATCTTTCCCTTCATTATGAAAAAAAAAAGTCTGACAAGAATTGTCAAAATTGAAATTGCTCGTCACTCTGCCGGGTGGCAGGCTTCCTTTTCGGTATTTGCTGTGTTCTGACTTCGACGTTGGTGTTATCGCGACATCGAACGCGTGGGCGGCGCGTCAATATCAAGACGGCCCTTGACCTATCATCTCTCCGGAGTTGACATCGCTGATTCGCGATCGCGTGGCAGCGTTTTCCTCCAAAAGGACGTTTTTAGTTCCTGCGGTACTGTACAAGAAGTTCCTGGTAACAGTTGGTGGTACAACTCCCTTATTTTCCTCGCTTCTGGTCACGTTTCTACGAGTAGAGGGCTGAACATTCACTCTCCAAAAAGATGTAGTCTTTCCATATTATTAGTTCGGTTCCGTTGGGATTTGACCAGCGGTCGCGCTCAACAATTTTCTTTCAAAAAAATTAAAAATTGTTCCATATACAAAACTACGGTGTTAATCCAGAAAAACCACATTAGCTCGAGTCACACATCCCTGATTTGTATGAGTTAGTCGGCCATCTCCAATTACCAATAAATAAGCAATTGAATAAAATTACAACGTATCAAAGAACTCTGGGTTTTATTTATAGTATATTCCTTGTCTTAACAAAAATAATTGTAACAAGGCAATAAACAATCTACTTATTTATTTAATTGTTAAAATAGTGATATCAACGTGAAAGCAATCCTGTGTTTAAATAAATGTATTGATTATTACAACTAAATTTTTTTAATGACGTAATGGAGCGTCGTTTTATTGTTGTGTTTTCTTGATAAGAACGTGTTCATTGATTATTGTCTGTCTAGCATTTTTAATAATTGGTTATTGTAAATAAAATATGAAAATCAGCTGTTTTCCCGCGGCTTCTTTCCCGAAAATTATAACCTATTATAACCTAACCTAACCTATTAACTAGTAGAATGTAGCTTTTCGTAGGTGAAATAATTTTTAAAATCGGCCCTTTAGTATTGGAGACAAATAAACAATTAAAGCTGTCCTCTTTATTATATCAGTATAGTATATACGTATTTGTACCTTGTGTTTTGTATATTAATTTGAAATTACTTGAAACCTTAAAAGATTTTATCGATTTTAAGATATCTATTTAATTACAATGGACTAAGTAATAATTTCACACAGTTTGTAAAAAAATCACGATATCAATCGTTACTTCTAAAATTAATTGTTCCGTCTGATTGTTTTTTTAATAATCAATTAGAACAATCGCCGGTCTTGTGAACTATAATTTAACAGTTGAAATCAAGTATGTTGTTGTAAGTAATTATACGGGTGTACTATATCGTAGCAAGGTTTCTATGTACTGATTTTAACGCCAATATAACATTATTATTTTACTGCCTTTAGCGCCAATAAAATACTATTTGTTATTCTATAAAAACGTATAGTACAACGTTGTCTCCGCTTAGAGGTGTAATGAAATAAAACCGACTTCAAAAGGTATAAGTTTTGATTTATTGAACTTTTATAGGAGCTCGATGAAGCATTGGTTAGCGCGCTCTGTCTGAGATACGGTTTTTAAGCAACTTTCGCAAGTGCCGGTAATAGGATGGGTAGTTAGTGCCGGCTACATCTACAGTCGTTAACGCCCACCAATCCGCATTGGGGCCATTTTCCCTAATTTATTAGATTCGATCCATAGGAGAGGCCTCAGCTATTAGTATAGACACCAATAGGCTGGTGAGAGCGGCCTTTATGGTGCGACAGTGGTTTACTCAACGCTGTATTCGATGATTTGTTTTACAGTGTAGCAAATGCGTTACATTAGAGTCGTATTAGTGTTTCCAAAATACACGAAGTTTCATTTTGGCGAAACAGAGTAAGCATTCAGGTCAAATCGGAATTCCGATGTGATAATAATCACAAAATGAAGGATCAATTCTAAACTTTTTACTTGAAATACGCTCAGCAGGATGCCTTTTATCACATACTCCATGAACGAAGTTGGTCTTATACAATACGAATTCATTAATACTGATCATGATAGCATTGAAAAGTTTATTGGAAACACAAACGCTAGATAGAATATCTATTGAGTTTATAAATGCTCTGTTGTTATTGGCTACTTTGCCCACAAGGTTAAAAGCACTATGAGAATGAGATGCATTTTCGAGGTATATCCAGCCTAAGATAAAAGTACAGTATAATAAAAGTAAATTTATGAATACTAAACAAGCTTAAGCTATCTACGATTTATATAAGAACGATAAATAAATGAAGGTTTTTGGGTAGTTAAATGAGAAAATACAAACTACATTTATATTGTATGATTCATTAAATGAACGAGCTTCTTTTTTTTAAATTATTGAAGAAAAAAAACGCAATATTTTACTGTCTCCCCCCTTTACGAAACTACAGCCAATACGAAGAATATATCTTTGCCTGTAGATTGTAGGAAATTCTAATAGTTATTCCTTTCTCTTCAATATTTGTGTCACTCTTTGTCGATTTTACTCCATCACACATTTTTTTTTATATGAAAATATTGTCGAGCTCTTTGCTTGTCTAGTCTATACATATATTATAAACAGGAAATATATGATTTTTTGTTTGTTTACTTCGAATAGGCCTCGAAACTGGACCGATTTTATGTTATGATTTTCTTTCACCTAGGGGAACTATATCGTAGGAGGATGACATAGGCTATAATATACGCGGGAGAAGTCACGGAAAAACGGCTTGTAGGATATATACCTAGCCTTTAATACAATGTAGTGTTAGGTAACCTTCATTGTAGCTATTCTTGCACTTTTAAATTGGTAGTCCCTACCTCGCCGCTGGCCGTTTTTACCGTTTTTGCCCTTTCCGCCTTTTTTGTTGGGTTTATTCCGATTTCTTCTTTTTTTCCTCGCCTCCTCATATTCATCCTCAACATCATACTCTTCGGATTCATTATCATTATAATTTTCAATTTCACATTTTCCTACATACAATATTAGTAAGGACGGATTAAACATTTTTGCTAGTTTATATTGACAAATATTATCGTAGGTTATTCCTGTAGTTGTGCATATTTCCTCAGGTTCCCCGAACTGTTGGCGTGGTGGACAATTCACGGAGAATGTTCCGTAGCAATACACAGCTAATGTCAACAGCAATGTTCCTGAAAAAGGCCATTCAACATTATGCGGGTGTATTTTTAAAGATTCTTCATTCTAGTCTACGGCGTTAAAAGTATAATATATAGCTAAATATGAAACAATTAATGTAATGCAGATGATCCGGTTTTGTTACTGTCCCATTAAGCATAAGCAAATATATTACTTTACGTTGTATGATCTTCAAAATGTTTAATTTTGGCAAAACTGATAAGGTTGACAGCTTTGTAGTGTCCGAGTTTTCTTCCTCGTAACTTATAAAATGGCAAAACCCGGGTTATCTGCCTTAATTTGTACGAAACGTTAATCTCGCAAAAAGAGATGATGAAAGAGCTCCACGATTAAAAATGTCAAAAAGTTACCAAAAAACTTACCAATAAATAAATACATTCCAATGGAACGCGGTTTACGTATCGGAAGTACAAAGTGAAATACCTATTTAATTTAATACCTGCCAAACTGTGAGAATATTATAAGTTTCAAAGATTAAGTGATTACTTACACGATGGAAAATTGTTGTGAGCTGTTTCAATTATCGTTCTTTATGTTGATAGTGAGCCGTTAATACATGTTTACGTCGGCTTAAGAAGGCTCAATTTTATAGAAATAACGTCAAATAAGCTATAATATAATGAAAAATTATGTAGGTACATCATATTTTTAAAGATTGTGCCACAGTAAATACGGGAATTGATTTCGATGTGACTGTTACAGACTCACAAAATTACCCCTATATTTCATATTTCTTTCATTTTTACGTGTTCATATGCTACAAGGATTCATAAGTCCGGTACGGAACCAAGATGTTACAATTTCTGTATTCTAAGGTTATTGTATTTATTTTATATTAATATTATAATCTTTCTGTTTATTAAATGTTGTGAATTTTCTTGCACACATTTTTTAAAAACAAAAAACAATTCATAGTTTTACCCCCCATTCACAGTTGCTTTAAAAAATAAATAAGTTTTTAGCGCCTTTTCTGTATAAACATCAAGGCTTGGCAAAAAAATTTTCATTGCAGTTTTCACGTGCGTGGTTCAAAACTATGGAATAACATTAATTAAACACAAATTAAAGTTAGGAAATATTAAGTCTAATTTGGTGCAAATCTATGCTAATATTATAAAAAGGAAAGATTTGATTGTTTGTTTGTTTGCAACTTATAGACTTCGAAACTACTAAACCGATTTTAAAAATTCTTTCACCTACGGGAAACTACATCATATGCAGTAAGCATAGGCTATATTTTATCCCGAAGAACAGCAAATAAATGGATGACTATCGGAGTGGAAGTTTGTATAGGGAATTAAAACGTTGCCATGGTAACCACTGTTTATTATTTAATTTGACTTTGTATTTATATCCGTGTTATGATATGAATCGATATCCAAATAATCAATCAGTTCGCTAGAAACCACGCGGGCGAACCCGCTGGAGGAAAGCTAGTTTTGAAAAAAATGCTAAACTTTTTCACGAAATGTTATCACATAAAAGCTCTTTATCTCTTATAAATAGGTTGATCTAAGTGACATAATACTTAATTCCCTCAATTGTTTAAAGACATCTTTGTTAGTATTTCCCATAATTGTTTAGAGTTAATTGTTACTGCACTATGATATAACTTAAGCGATATCGTTATAAATTCTTCTTTTTTCGCTTTATTACTTGTTAAGATTATGTTGACTAAAGGATTCAATTGTGGTTAGCTTTTGTCGGACACTAAATTATTTCTTGTGTATCTTCATAAAACAAAGTGCGTACTCCGTATTTTCAAAGGACGGATCCAGGGGGTCATGAAGGTCATAAGACCTATACTTTGGTCCGCCCTTGGTCAGCTGATTTGAGGGTTGGATCCTCTCTTATTAAAAACCAACATACAATAAAATCTTTCTTCGTTACAAATATAAGTACAGAAAGCCAAGTATTTCAAAATTATAAATCAAAAAATGTAACACATTATTTCTGTCGAAAAAAGTAATAAAAAAGAAAGCTACTATTAATGTCATTTAAGAATTGAAAACCCATGTGTTCTCGCAACATTTGAATTGAGTGAGGCTGATCGTAAAATATATTTTCTGGGCATCGTAATTTTATTAACATTAAGTAATTTGCAGAAGTTAAAAAATTTTAGTAATTTGCAAGATTATATTGTTCAATAAAATTATAGCTGTAAAGTCACGGCTGAGGTGTTGAGGGCAACGGTCAGCTTTAAACCGGCAGATATCGCAGAAGCAGGGTTTTGTCAAGGCCAAAACTATAAGCAAATAGTTCTTGTCCAGGGGAAATCAAGAAGCGCAAAATAATGGCTCAAAGTAAAATGTCCCAGCTACAAGGCACGTTGAGAAACCTCAATGTCTTAATACTACTCTTGAAAATAAAATTAGTCAGTTCTATGTTCTTCTTCATATTCAGTTACAGAGCTGAGACATTAATAGTCATAAACCCCTTAGATTACTTTTAAAAAACGTGTCGATCTTTCGCGAATCAAGAGCTAAGGCCAGACTATTATCGTATTTCGATGCAGAATAACATGTCCAGAAAATAGGAACTTATTGCACAAATCATGGAACTCAAATTTGACCCACTTCCCAATGTCTGATAAATTTGAAATTTTGCATAGAGATGTTAGACAGATGACAATGCGATATTATGGTGTCAGTAAGCTGATATGATGATGAAGTCAAAATAAAAATTTCTGTATTTCCTCGTCTTCTATTTCATCAGTATTACAAGCTTTTCAAGTCAATTACTAGTGAAAATTTTGATTATACGTACTTTACGTGTTTAAAATTTATTTATTTACGTTTTAGTGCGCACAAATAAGAGCTTGTTCTTAAAAAACTCTTTTTAAATAAATAATTAGTGGCTCGGTAGCGTAGTAAATAAAAAGCGGTATCATGACAATTTCTATATATTATCTATATATTTATAGCCACTAACAGAATAATACCAACATATCTATATTATAAAAGCGAAAGGTCTCTCACTCGCTCACTCATCACGAAATCTCAGAAACTTCAAGTGCTAGGAGTTCCAAATTTTGCATGTCGTTTCTTATTAGGACGTTTGTGCTTACTAAGACGGGATTTTACGAAATTCGATACCTAAAGGGGCTGAAAGTTTTTATGGAATTTTCTCATTTCTGGACTTAAAACTAGATCACGCGGGCGAACCCGCTGGCGAAAGGTTAGTTATATATAAAATACAAGTATATAAATACATAAACATACAAATAAATATATATTTACATACATATATACATACATGTACTATACATCACACGTATAAATCATGTCAGAGTAAAAAAAACTAATTGGAGATAATATTTATTCTTTAATATGTTTTATTCATTTTACATTTCAGTGACATCACATAGTCGAAATCAATCATATACGCATGATTAGGGGCGAATTAAAGACTAATCGCCAGATCATATGCAAAGCAACAGCTTCATCAAGCATCTTAAATACAGAAGTATGTAAACTTTTAAACTTTCGCGTTGCATTATATTAGATTGTATACGACGGGTATTAACGGGATAGATTTTGTTAGTTAGGTTTTTCACCTATATTTCCCGACGTTTCGCCGTGGTCACGGGCTGACTGTTTCTGCGATGCTACGTCTCATCTTCTGAAGTAGAATCCACTTCCACCGTCCAGTTCATTCCCCAGGTACCGCCACACACAACATACCTAACTATTAAAATCTATCGCGTTAATACCCCTCTTATACAATCTAATACAGAAGTATGCATTTATATATATAAAAATTTGATTCTATGCTGTTAAAAATAGAACCGGTGACGTTTCAATAGTTAATCTAATATAGGTAGGTATAGTTTACTCTTAGCTGTAATCTTAAGCAGCTTTATGTTCAATCAAGAAAATGATTTGTATATTTTAATAGCATTTCTAATGATTAATTAGCCATCAATAATTTTTGATAACTATAGTATAGTGTAAAGGTAAATAATGCCCAGACTTAACGTTATGGATATTGCATACGTAGGTAAGTTTATAAATCAATGAAAATTGGAAAGAATTGTAGTAAAATGATTAAAATTGTTTCGATCAAAATGTTGTTTAACTGTTTTTGAATCACATGTTAAAATTCCATTAAGCATTTTTGTATCAGCGCCTACGGCTATACATGCAAAGCATACTCTACGGCTGCGTAGCAGCTATGACATTCTAACAATAAACAGTACAAAAGTATATTTCTTTCGAATTTTAAAAAAAAACCTATCAACAAATCCCGAATCACCATCTGTTGCGTAGTTTTAAAGAGCGAAGCAAACATAGGGCAGACAGAGGAAAGCGATTTTGTTTTATAATATGTAGTAATGATATAATATAAAAAACGTCCTCAGTTGCGACTGGTGAAATAAAATATGGCGGTACGAAGTTCGCAGGGCCAGCTAGTTATCAATAAAAATGAAATGTTTAAAAGTAGGTAACAAACAACAAACAGAACCTAAGTGCGTGTTGTATGTGTTGCAGAAATATTATTGCAATTATTGTGCACATTATTGCTACCATAAAACCAGTCTTTCTAGCCCTATGAATGCCCAGTACCGCTTACTGCATTACGATAGATCTGCGCGTCAGATGGAATTACTCAAATTACAACTTTAATCAAATTGTAAAATGATAATAAACAGTTTCCCTTATTTCAAAAACTACAATAAGGAACAAACCATTTAATTTGACAATAGATTACATATGTGCATCTGGCTAAATCATGTAAGACTAAAATAGCTGCTTTATTAGCTTTTAATCGTTTCTTTTATATTGTTGTTTTGTATTGTAAGTTTCTTTTAAATTTGATATAATACTAAGTTACTTTTGTATTAGTATTTCTACTGATGTAAATGTTTAATTTTGAAAAATTCAGTTTTAAACTGAAAAGTAAACAAAAGCCAAATCGAAATATATTAATATAATGCAACAAAATCATCTGACAATTATGCCTTGACAGTATCCTTCTAGATTACGGTCTCTAATGAACTTAAAATAATAGAAGTTAGGTAATTTATAAATAAATAAAATAAAAAGTACTTGGAATATTATCAATAGTGTAACTGGAAAAATAGACCATATGAAAACTTCTGAACTGATAGTCAATATTTTTTATGATTTTTCCTTAAATACACTGATCGATACAAATTCCAATTTAAATTCTTCACGAAAACAGCAATGGTAATGCTTAGTAATTGTGTACCAAAATGTGATACCTTATTTTAGTTCAAATATATTGATTCGTTAGATGTTATTAAAGGCTTTACGTTCGGCAATAGTTTCGGGTTTAGCGCTTCTAAAGGATATATTTAAAGCATGGAAGGGATCGCAAAACGCTCTTGGAGTATTTTGGGATCTGTCGAAAGCGAATGCGATTGCGTTAAGCATCAGACACTGTCTTATAAACTGAACTACTACGGTATCAAAGGTGATGCTGTCGTATTTTAGTTCAAAAACACAAACAGTATATATAAATGGAGCGAAGTCGTCGGGGTCTCAGGTAAAAATAGGCGTTCCCCAAGGTTCTTTCCTAGGCCCATTTTTATTTTTAATATATATAAATGATTTGCTATTTTTACCACTTAAAAACCTATCTGAGATTGTGCTGTTTCCAGATGAAACTTCATTGATATTTAACATAGACAGAGATAAGTATAATTTTGACGATGTATACGATCCTCTCTAACAAGGATTGTCTTGGTTCACTGTTAACCTTCGATTGACTGCTAAAAACACCATATGTATAAAATTCACTTTACCTAATGATAAAGTAGAGCCAATTGGAATTAAAATTAATAACGAACATTAAGAATTAGTAAGTTCAACAAAATGTTTGGGCATAACACTAGATTCAAAACTACAATGGAACTCGCAATGTATTGGCTCGTAAACTCAGCTCAACTGCATATGCCATACGAAAAATAAGACAAATAACTGATATAGGAACTGTCTGGACAGTTTACTTTAGTGTTTTTTACAGTATCATATCCTATGATATTAAAATTTAATGAAATCGGAATATTAACAACTGCATCTCAATTTATAACAAAATAAATATGTATACCAAGCATAGTGATGTACACAAACTTAACATTAGAAATAAAGCAAGCTACTGTTGCCTTCTTACAGGTTACAGAAGATAATTTGGTTTATTATTGGGTCAAAGTATACGGTACTTTAACAAAAGATCCCTTGTGATGTATTATATTTGCCAATAAATCATTTTAAATATCTTATTAAAAGTTGACTACAAAGTTAAGGATATTAAAAGATAAAAAACAATTGAATTTGAAGTTAACAAGAGGATCGCCTGTCCACCGACATTTAACTCCGCTTTGTTATCATATGGTACATTGTTGCATACCTCGCCAATGCAGAAAACAGAAGTACATAATATGACTGCATTAAGTCCAAATTAATATAAATAATACTAACTTCATAAACTTTAATTTCCATCAGCGATTATACATACATATGATATGTGTGAAATTTAAAAGTTTTGAAAAAATACTCAATGTTTGTTTACAAAAAAGCAATTAGTCTATATTTTACATAGCCCTAGTTGTGTGATTTCTTTTAGTTCGGTGGCGTCTTTTTGCAGTAGTACATGACCCACAAGGTGGATATTTTGTCGGTTTTTTAGATCGCCTCGTTGACGCTGATGTGTGTGTTCGCCTTGTGCGAATGGTCAATTTCGACGTACCTTTTTCAGTTTCGTCATCATGTTCAGTTGGTTTGACAGTATCAGTTGGGTTTTCATCATTTTTACTATCAGATTCATCCAGCTGTTGAACAGACTCAGCTGATCCATATTGAGGAGGTTCAGAGGTTTCTATTTCCAGTGATTCAGGCAACGGTGTTGGGTGTTTTGGCCGTGTTTTTGTTGTAGTATTAGGACGTTTTGTTGTTGTTTCGATTGACTCATATTCAGCTTCATAAGATTCCGATTCCGATGACTCATATACTGTTGTTGTTGATCGAGTTCGTCTTTTCGTTGTCGAGGGTCGTTTTATTTTAGGTTTGCGTGTTGTAGTCATACATTTGTGTTTACATTCGGAATTAGTTGTTTCGAAAGGATAAAAAGGATTCCACTTTCGAGGTGTATTAGTAGTAGTTGTAAATTTAATATGTTTGCATTTTCCTCTGTGCACTACAAATAAGGTGGGATTATAAATTTGAGCTGCTTTAAACTCGCAAAGCGTACCATACGTGATTCCGTCTGATGAGCATAATTGTGGTGAATGGTTTTGTTCTTTGAATGGACATTCAAAAGGCCAAAAATTTCCATTAGAGACAACTAATAACGTCCAGAGGATAAATCCTGTAAAAAGGTATATACATAGCAAATCGTGATCAAATTTTTACTTTACTATCAAATGGAGTTAGAAACATTAAAAGGATTAAAAATTACTATGTACATACATTGTTTCTTGAGTGCTTTACTTAATAAAATGTAAACATACTTAATAAAAAAAAATATTTAAAGAAATTGTTATCATAGATACATAGAAATAAATAAAATTGAAGTGTCTTAAAAATAATCCTTTTTTTACTGAATGCATATCGTATACATACGGTATCATATAACAAAATAACATTTTTTTATTTTTTTGTCCGTCTATTAGTTTATTCCGGCTAATCTTTGGAACGACTAGATCGATTTTGACAGGGCTTTCCTTGGCAGATAGTTGATGTAATAAGAAGTAACTTAAGCTACTTTTATTTTAAAATCTATTATGTTTAAATAAACAAAAAAAAATGAAGTCTCTGTTTGTAATATGAAAACCGCTTTTTAATAAATGCATAAGAACTTATCTCGGTAAATTTATTAAAATAATATTTTTTACCATTTTTGGATAGTAGTTTTTAAATTGAAGTATTCTGGAAATCTACTCGTATATTATTATAAAGAAGAAGAAAGCTTTTATTTTTTGTTTGTTTGCATTGTATAAGCTCCGTAGCTATTAGACCCATTTTAAAAATCTGTCACCATACACGATTATCATAGGTTATATTTCATCCCAAAAAACAACAACAAAGGGATGAAAATGGGAGTAGAAATTTGCATATAGGTATTTAAAACGTTACCATAGTAATAAGTTTATTATTCAATTTGACAATTTATCTCTATGTTTGATTAACAGCTTACCAACATAATGGATTCCCATAATACTACCACACCTTACGTGTAATGAGGAATTAAGTCGTATATTTCGATATAAATATGTCTAATTACATTGCTATTAAACATTATTATACTTCCTTATTTTCTGTGATTGGACATAAAGGCTTGGTTTAAGATAACGCAATTAGTCAAGGTAAATGAATTGATTTCAGGCGGATAATTTTTGATTGGTTTATTATCAAGTTATTCAATCTGCAACGGGTGACTGGAAGAAATCTGCTATTAGACATAAGGTCGCCTCTTATATTATTTTTGTTTGTAATATTTTTATGTTTATTTTACTTAGTTTACGATTTTTTCAAGCACTTTTTACTTTATTGAAAGTTAAAAATATTTCTTTCGGGTTGGATTGGATCGGATTACATTGAAAATTTATGAAAATGCGCTCTGTATTAGTGAAAAAGTAACAAGTGTTTATTTATTTTATGTTTATTTAAATAATAAAATACCATATCTATTGTGATATAAGTAAAGTCAAATAGATATCATTTCATGCGTAAGTACTGTATTTACTCTTTTTATAAGCTCGTATTTATCTTGCCTTGTTTGTATGTTAATATATTTGTTAGTGGGTAAATCTTGGAATTCAAATTTGACCCACTTCCCAAAGTTCGATAGACTTGAATAACGTAACTGCATCGTATTTGGACTTGTAAGATCCGTCGTTATGAGGACTTTGGTACTGGATGCTTTTCAGATCAAGGTCTGATGATGGTGGAGCTGGAAGGTGGTCATAGGAACTTAGTAATAATATAACGCAACTATATAATGTCGGAGCTGGTTAGATCTTCTTTATGAGGACTTTGGTACTGGATGCTTTACAGACCAAGGTCTGGTGATGATGGAGCTGGAAGGTGCAATTGCATTGTCTTTGGATTCTTTACATCCATCTTTATGAGAACAATAACATATTGCGATAAAACTAAAAAAAATATAAAAAAATTACTTGAATAGCTTGTAGCACGTAAAAAATGTATGTTAGTGTGACCTCATCTCCAAATTCATTAGCATCATAAGCTTTTGCAGTCAATTAATGTTAAAGAAAATTTTGATTTTAATAAATTAAATGTTTAGAATTTATTTATTTACGTATCAATGCGCATAATTAAAAGCTTTTTATAAAAAACATTGTATATTTTTTATATTAATAAAAATAATAAAACACCATTGAACGCGCCTATTTTGCATAGTGTTCTATGAGGACGCAGCAGTTGACACGTATAGCTATGCAAGTATGTTTGTCTCGTTCTAACATATATATGCTGAAGATTCTGATAGGGAGATAACTTTTTGATTTCTTGCTTATTACATCTGAGAGATAACTTTTTGATTTCTTCGCACCCTTTGTGGTTGTGTTATAATGTTACGCTACCACAATAAAATTTACGCTGTTTAAAAACGCAATACGTACGGGTATGACGTGTCTATTCATAAAACCTCGTTGTTTATAAATAAATATTTTTTAGCAATATAATTGAAAACATACTGAATATAACTCTATATTTACAGATTACAATATTCCTACAAGAAATTTAATATTTTTTTCTTCACTTAACATTTTAAATCAACCACGTAATTGAAGTCAATTATATACGCATGGTTAAGGGTAAATCAACAAGGGTACACTTAGGCAGCTTAAAGAGACTACTGGACACAAGCAAAGCTATCACCAAACTACAATCTTTCTTGAGGGAACTGGGATTGCAGGACTAGAGCCTTCACTGTTGTACGAAAAATAGGCACATAGTGTCCAGTTACAGAAATAAACAGCCGTCGTGAATAAGCAGAGGCATAAATCAAACACAAATCGTCAGAATTAACTCGAACTTAAATGAGACCGTATGTAAAGCACCAGCTTTCGAATATAAGGTTTTCGTATTCAACAATTCAATACTGTAAATATTTTTTAGGTGTATACAAAAGTTTCTTTCCTGCTTTTTGGTAAAAAAAAAAACAAATAATATTCAAGTGATTTTTTTATTCAAGAAATTTAAAACCCCACATAAATATAAACAAATTTCGCCCATCTTTCAGTCAAGTTCTGAAAAGGTATCAGAAAACCTTTTGAGGCAAAGCATTCGTTAAGAAATTCCAATTCCCTCGAAATTGCTGAAATGTGATCAAATGCCACATTAATACGAAGATATGATTGCTAAATAGTGCCGTCGGTCTTCTGCTTAACTGAAGTCTCGATTGATCTGTCATAGTGAATGATTAGTCTGCTGATAAATGCTAAAAGGTGATCCGTCAATTTAACAGGTTTGGAACGTTTGAAAGCACATACGGAAGCAGCCATAGATCTGGGGAGTACGACGGGTGCGGAAGGAAGTATAATCTAAGCGATTTCAAGGTGTCTTTATTTCGCTGGTATTGCTGTGGGAGACGAAGTAATGTTATTTGTGGTCTACCTTAGAACTCACTATCTTTCACATTGAAATCATCACTTTTAAATGTCTCATCAGATAAATTTTGAAAAAATATTTAATAGTTGTTAACAGAATAGCAAAAGTTTATTTTACATTACCCCTGTTGCGCGACTACTTTTTGATCGGCGGTGACTCTGTGTTCTAGTGGTACATAGCCCACAAGGTGGATATTTTGTAATTTTTTTAGATCGCTTCGTTGATGTTTGGTTTCGTCGAACCTTCTTCATCTTCGTCAACGGGTTTTGTTGTTTTAACGGTTTCAGTTGGGTCTTCATCATTGTTGCCAACAGATTCATCTGACTGTTGAAAAGACTCAGCTGATCCATCTTGAGGAGGTTCAGAAGTTTCTATTTCTAGTGATTCAGGCAACTGCGTTTGGTGTTTTGGTCGTTTCGTTGTGAGCTTTGGACTTTTTGTTGTTGTTTCGATTGACTCATATTCAGCTTCATAAGGTTCCAATTCCGATGACTCGTGTACTGTTGTTGTTGATCGAGTTCGTCTTTTAGTTGTCGAGGGCCGTTTTCTTTTAGGTTTGCGTGTTGTAGTCATACATTTGTGTGTACATTCGTAATTAGGTGTTTCGAAAGGGTAAAAAGGGTTCCACTTTCGAGGTGTATTAGTAGTAGTTGTAAATCTAATATGTTTGCATTTTCCTCTGTGCATCACATATAAGCTGGGATTATAAGTTTGAGCTGCTTTAAACTCGCAAAGCGTACCATACGTGTTGCCATCTGATGCGCATAATTGCGGTGATAGCTTTGGTTGTTTGAATGGACATTCAAAAGGCCAAAAATTTCCATTAGATACTGCTAACGTTGTCCAGATGATAAATCCTGTAAAAAAGGTAAACATGAACCTGAAATCGTAGAGCAAATTCTAATTATTTTTCTTTGAAATCTACTTTATTATCAAACGAGAGAAAAAATTGAAGATAAGTCATTATAGATATCAGAGCGACAACAAAACTCCCATTGTAAGAGTGAAAATTTTATGGATAGAAATTTATAGGAATAATTGATCACAACCCACCATTCGGACTCACTATAAATGCAGTTGGAAGCAAAGATTTAAGCGTCTTTTACACTCGCCCCTGCGTTCCCACCCCAGAACGTGGCTAGACAATTAGAAGGGGTATACCCACTAAAATCCAGCGTTATTCCACTCCATGGAGGCGATGCTCGGGGATAGCAGATCACTTCCCGCGCTGTTCTCACCTCCAATTGATGCTCACCACATGCGTACCACCACCCTTTGCGGGTTGGTGGTACATCTCACCGACATTTGAGACGCATCTACCAGACAGGGCGTGAGAGCGCAATGCCCGGCCAGCGTGCAAACCGGCCGAACTGTCTCCGATCAAAGACTGGAAATGTGAAATGCGCAACACAGGCATAACCCTTATCGGGTCACTTAACCGATAATCGGTCTTTACGAAACCTACTGAAATCGGCCTCAAAAATAATACACCGTATGCGCTAACCACAAAGCTATTATCTCATAAAAAAAAATTATCTATAAAAGTTTGTCACTATAGTTGAATAACAACTTACCAACATAATCAATTCCCATTACTACCACACCTGAACTTATGAGGAACTAACTGGATATTCAACATGAAGATTTCTCATTAGATTGCTATTAACATTCTAAATACTTTCTTATTTTCAATTATTGAACATAAATATGTTTGTTGTTTAAGATTACACATTTAGTCAAGGTAAATTAATTGATTTGAAGCGGGTAAATCTGCATATATACAAAAAAACACTGTAGTTCATTTATACATTAACCAACGCAACAGGTTAATATTATAATACAGTGATTTTAAAAACCAGCCAAAAGCAAGCATAGACTGTCTATTGAAATATTTTGCTTCCGTTATATTCTAATTAAGACCTGTGATTCAGACTGAATATTACAAAAAAAAAATACCAGTATTTCTAGGCAACGTGTAGCAATTGTTAAAGAAAATTATCCTCTATCTTCAGGCCGTATCTCTGTTGAGGTAGGCATAGAGGAAGTTTTGCTCTTTTTATATATATTGCCGGTTTTTTATAGCTTCTGACGTCATATTCCACGCCCGCGATAAATTTTTATTAGAATACTAGCTGACCCGACAGACTTCGTCCTGTCAAAAAGATTTGTAATGTGGCAGTTTTTTTTGCCTACGTATTTAAAAAAATTCTGCGTGCCGAAACTAATACAAAAGAAACGCGAGTTTCGGAACGCGACATTAAACTCCTCCAACTATGTATTCTGTGCTCCAACGCACACACGCACATTGTTTTGATAGATATGATCATTGACGTTAGGAACACACCTACATTGCTTAGACAACAGTGAGTGCTTGTAATTTAATATGAACTTTATACCATAGCAATAAAGCTCAAATTGACTACGTTTTAGTTACAAATCATTTGTATGGGAAAAAGAAAAGGGCTATTTTTAGGGTTTTTCCAGCAATAATTCTAATTTTTCTCGCCGTAAAAACCATCCTTGAACTTCAACGAACATTTTAAAAAAAGATTTGGCCAAATTGGTCGAGGCGTTGTTGAGTTATGCGCTTACCAACACATTTTGCGATTCATTTTTATATATATAGATTAAAAATTTAAGTACATACAATCTCCGCCACATTTCAGTATAATTGTCATGAATATACTAATGTTTTAAATGAGCATTATTTTTCAGGTTTTTCGTGCTTTTCTAATTAAATATATAAAATAAAGGCGACTTCAAAAGGTAATAATGGTTTCTTTTTACTTTTAATCCTGCGACGCCGTTGTCCCTATTTATCTTAATTTATCGCAATCCCTTTCAAAAGTATATCGATTTATGCAATCACATAATTTTTAAAGTCACAATGAAGCATAATAAAAAATTACCTAAACCTGTCGAAAGATTGTAAATATAATTTCGTCTAGCATTTCTTAATAGCATTAATAATATGTAATAGTAGCTCGGTGGCGTATAGGATAAGCGCCGCGGCCCGCGATCGTTGTCGTTAAGCAACTTTCGCTAGGGTCGGTCACGGGATGGATGACCAAAAAATTATTCTCTTGAGCTACTCCGTGCTTGGGAAGGCACGTTAAGCCGTTGGTCCTGGCTGCATTTGCAGTCGTCAATACCCTCCAATCCGCATTGGGCCAGCGTGGAGGGTCATGGCCCATCCTCCTTAACCATCCATAAGGAAGGTCTGAGCCCCTGCAGTGGGGACGTAAAAGGGCTGGTGGTGAATCATTCATATTATGTAGATTTTAAAATTAAATAATTGGGATTTACAAGTGATTGTGAAAGACCCAAACTTATGGCATCGACTCGTAAATTTACGGGAAGAGACCTTGTGTGCCTTGAATATTTATATAGTTTTTGAGTAATCAGTTATTAAATATTTGGCGCTTTTATTCCGCCATCATCGTGTTTATAGGGTTTATGTGTAAATGGGTTTCTTTATTCCGCCGTGTATCGGTCTGTGGAACATTTGTTATCAAAGAGGTCCTCAGACTGCAATGACAACTTTGTTTAGCCAAGCCGTATCACAACTTGTTTCTTTTATTTTTGAGTTCAGCCTTTAACGTTTTTAAGGCAAAGGTAAAATACAGCAAAAAAGACATTTCGAAAAAAGAATATTTTCAAAAAAGTTATAATCATAGAGTTTTTGCTGAGATGAAATTCATTTTAAAAAATTTCTCCAGGCACCCCAACACGTATTGCATGGCTTGGGTATTACTGGAACGTCTTTCGGTCCGCATTTGCCACGATGCGCAATAACCAGGGCCACGTTGTACCTCTGTGCGTCTTTGAATTGACAGTATGTAGAATACGTTATTCCATCTGATCCACATATTTCTGGTTTAAAAAGCGATCCGATGAATGGCAATTTAAAAGGGCACGTGAAGGGCCAAAATAAGCTGTGGGATGGCACCGATATCGTCCATAGCAATAATCCTGAAACATGTCATATCTTTATTTTATACAAATTGATCGGGTAAAAAGTCCCAATTACATTATTAGCACTTATTCAAAATGTGGGGAATATAATATCAAAAGAGGTTTATAACCTCTTTTGTTTCAAAGTTCATCAATATCCATGAACTTCGTTTTCCGTAACAAACATACAAACTTCAGCAATTATTATATTATAATGTGATAGTAGGAGTCTCAAATAAAGCAGTATAAACACAATTACAAAATATAAACTGATTAAAAAAAATGTAATAAAGAGAGAAATAGTACCACAAATTTTTATCTTCAATAAAATCGAAACGCAGAAAATGTATATACACCAAGAATTTCTTGAGGTCGGTGCCAGATATAAGTGTATAAGAACAATTGCAATCCGACATCTAGTTTTCAAGATATCCGTGGACAAAAAACATACATACATTTATAAAATTTTGCTTACTTATTTAGAAGTCTATATAGACCAACATATAGACGAATTGAAAACCTCCTATTTATAAAGTCTGTTAAAAAGCTTACCCACAGATATCCACATAGTTGCTATAGACGTCTAGCGTACGTGACTAACTATATTTTAATACCTACAAAAAGTAACTTTCCAACTATATACATTGAAAACAAATAGCCAATTAATGTTTAAAACTATAATACATAAACATTAATAGAATTTATTTACGCTTATATAGTTTCAACAACAAACATTATTAAATTATACAAAACTTTAAGATACATGGTTCATACTAAAAATATATAACTGAAGGACATTGATACTCGTTAATATATATTTTTTCTTTTCTAAGTAGATTTTCTTCCTTTTCTTCTTACGCTCTTTTATAATTGATTTGTTGTCTGAAGTAATTGAGCCCACTTTTCAATAGCTCACTCTTCCGCGCCTTTTCAAAAACGCAACCACTGGTTATAAAATTAATTTCTCTGATTTGCATCCAACTTCATATAATGCCAGATATCAGTAATCTACACTTAAGGGTCGCCCAAATATATCGCCTTAATATTTAGAAATCGTCTAAGGTAAAAATGCTTTTCACCATTGACTAGAAATCAACTAGCGTCATTAAGCAATGTTTTTGAATTAAACTAATCTGCTTAGGCGATTCGCAAGACAAGGATTTTCCTAGTTAGGCTATGCCTTGTAGGTTAGTGAAAACTGATGTAATTCACATATGTCTACTAAATTTTAACTCAATCTTGTTTTTACATCAAAATAATTAGATGTTTTCTGCCAAATAACGAAACTACTTAGACGACATATTTATATTATCGAAGAATTACGTATATAAATATAACCAAATATCACGTATATAACCGACTTCATAGAATTTTACAAACGAGCGCCGCGCCGAACAAATACAATTCTACTCTAAAGTCAATTCGTATACTCAAAACCCTGCTTTGATTGGTATATATTAGTATAAGAATTAATTGGTTTCTGCGTTCGTTGTCTAAAATGTTATTTCAAGTAAAATTATAAAAAAAATATAAATCAACTTTAAAATCGTGAATAACATACTATGATAACGAGAACATTTCTCATAAAAACGTTTCAAGAAAATTGTCCTGAAATCGGGTGGTTTATATTAACAACCTACACGAAATCTCCATATATATATGAACTATTTCTTACGTTATTTATGTTTTATATTTTCAATTTTTTTATTCAATTTTTCATTTTATGTGAGAGGGTGTAATATTAATTTACATTTACTTACATATGGGTATGTAATACAAATAAATTAAACACACGATTTTGAAATAAAACATTTAATACAATAATTTGTTTTTATGAGATATATACATGTGGGATCAAAGGCGCAAGTAATAAAACATTGTCTTTATTGTCTATTGAAGCCCCATCCGTATTTTTCTTTAATCTTTCATTTTCCTTACAGTTACCAGAATGTTTTACATATAGATCTGGATTTGTCAATGTTGCGTACAAAGCGTAGCATTTGTTAGGATAAGTTGTTCCATCGGAACCGCAAACAGGTGACCTGTTAGTAGAACAAACTTCTATTTCTTCTGTCGCATCGTTTAGAGTTTGTTTTTTATCTCCATTAGAGACCGCCTTTTCTTCTGTCGTGTCTTTTAAATTTTGTTTTTTACCCAATTTATTAACCTGTCTTTCCTCTGTCGTATCTTTTGAATTTTGTTTTTTATTCAACTTAGATACATCTTTTTCTTCTGTCATGTCTTTAAAATTTTGTTTTTTACTCTTTTTAAATTTATTTGGTTCTTTATTTTTTCCAAAAAGTTTATTACTTTGCTTTTCATTTTTTTTACATTCACCAGGGTGTATCACATATAATGATGGATCTATCAACGTTTCGTACAAAGCGGTACATCTATTTGGATAAGTATTACCATCCGAACCGCAAACAGGAAACCAATTACTATGACAAGGAAGTATTTCTCGTGGGTCTTTCAGCTTTTTATTTTTAGAAGAATTATATTTTTTTTCCTTTTTACTTCTTCCGAGATTGGTACTCTCTTCTAGATTACTATATGTTGGTACTTCATCAATCGTAAATTGGCAGTGTCCTTCGTGGAGTGGTAGCAGGTCTTCGTTTCTTGCCCTTGCGAGGCTCAGGTGGCAGATGGTTTTATAAGTATTTCCATCATTGCCGCAAACTGGTTCATTAGATATACAAGACAGAGCCACTACATTATGCCATTTGATTAACCCGTAGAAGAGTGTTACGTACGCTGCAACTATCGATAACGCACAATATTTAAAAACATATTTATTAATTTCATGACGTGTTCTAAAATATTTTCTAGAAAAAAAAGTTTTGAATGTTTTGGTACCAATATAAATACTCCATACTAATAGCAAAAGTCATAATAAATTTGAAGATTATAAGGTCTCAGGTTGCTATTATCGCAACTGTTAAACTCATTGGAGCTGCATACCAAAAGTATTGGATTTCCAATATCAGAGATTTTATTTTTATTCTGAATAATATTGAAAATAATTTATGTCAAAAATTTCGTTACGGTTTTAGTGTGGAAATAAGCATTTATACATTATCTATACTAATATTATTTAATAAGAAAGATTCCATTGTTGATGTTTTGTTGTTTACATCGAATAGACTCCGAAACTACTGGACTTATTTTAAAAAAATACCTACGTAAAGCTACATTTTACAAAAGCACAATACTCGTAACAAAAATAATATGACTTGTTTCGTTTCGTTATTTCACAGTCGTTAATACACAACTATAAGCTACAAATTTAAAAAACATATTCGACTTACGAAATGTCATTTCAGTTGAAGATGACACGGATTTCTGAAAATCTATTATAGGAAGATGTAAATGAAACATTATACTAAAACCAATTGATGATATACATGAATGAGTTTATTTAACAGTGTTAAGGGGAAGTTTGCTGTTCACCATTGCATCATGAAGTATTTTGTCGTTGATTCGAGTAGTTCCTGTTGAACAACTTATGCAGATACCTTTTGTCAGAAGACCTCTTTTTGTAGATGATATAATCCTAGATATGCACAGTAAATTCCAACTAAAACGACGTATGATGACGGGCGTCAGGCTCGAGGATCGCGATAAAGTTTGCTGGTCTGGCGATTACGCTCGGATTCCCGGGTGCAACACCCAACACCTGGGTGTGTAAGCCCTGGGTTTTCAGTGAATAAGACCCAGACCATTGACTTGCTTAGTGGTTCAACCACAAGTAGGTAAATTAATGGATTAGGATTTGATAAAAACCTAAACCACAAACTAAAGCAAACTAAAATTTAACGTTTGATTTTAAGTTTTTCTGCGTATATTGTATACTGGCAGTTTCTGAGGGCTGAGGTTTTCGGTAGTTAATTAAAAATTAACCGCCCGACTTCCATGTTTCATAAAACATTTAACCGATTTTAAGATAAAGTATTTATTTCATGCATTTTAGAGATATTTTGAGTTTTGGGGTAACAAACATCACGTATACTTAATCCAAATTAAAGATTTACATGGTTTTCTCATAGAACCCATTGCCAGATATGGACCAAATTAAAATGGGATCACACGACAAGCACTAAAGCTTACAAGCTTTCAAATAAAGAAAGAATCATTAAAATCGGTTCACCCAAAGATATTTGTGATGGAGATGAGAGAGCTGTTTGAGCAATTTAATAATTTTAAGGTTAGGGACTCTTATAGAGATTTTTTTAAATAAATAGAATATATATAAATTAGTTGTAATAACTACTATTTGTGGTTAACCGATAAGTCTAACATATATTCTCAGCAATTAGATTATTTTATAAACTATACAGGTTGTGGCGTAAGTTCTGTCATAAAAAAAATACGAACTCTCGGAATCAACTAGTCTCTTGTGTTATATTTTTTTCTATAAAAATAGATCTTTTCACTTTTCGGTCACCATTTACTAGGAAAAGAGGATTTTTACTTTTGATTGATAAAAAAAGAAATTTTCTTAAAAATTTAAAAAAATATATAACCCAAACATTAGTTGAAACATAGTTCGTAATTTTATGCTAGGGCTTTGGGTCCTCAATTTGAGAATACCGGGTTATCCATTACATACGCCACACCCTGTATATTTATGTACAGTCAATAGCACGTCACTGAGCCACTGAGCTACTTTTATTTATTTATTTATTTATTTAATTCTTCATGCACAAAAAAGTACATTGGCGGACTTAATGCCTTAGGCATTCTCTCCCAGTCAACCTTAGCGTGCTGTGGGGAAACCGATGGTGGCAAGGTGCACAATGGAACTAAAGAATAAAGATTTCTTTCCAAACAAGTAGTTACATAAAAACTTATAATACATAAAATCTATAACAAATACATATATATCAATATGCGTACATAATCTATATATACTATATACATACATATAATAAATATACGATAAAAGTATCAAATCGACGAATCCAGTTCTTTCGAAAAATAGCCACGTAACCTTTTCTTAAAAATTAATTTACTGGTGGACATTCGGATTTCTAAGGGGAGCTCATTCCATAGAAGGATAGCCTTAACAAAGAACGAAGAGTGAATGATATCGGATCTGTGAGATGGACAGTTGAGTAAACGATTGGGTTGGGAACGAAGAGTTTTAGTATGGGAATTGCATAGATATTGGAAGTGAGATGTGAGATAAGTAGGAGCGTTAGGAGAGTCCAATAACGAAAACAAGGTGGTCAGAGCTCGCATATTCCTTCGCTGTCGTATTGGCATCCAGTTTAGAAGAATTCGCTTTGCAGAGACATGATCATATTTACTGCTGGGTGGGTCACGACCCACCCAGCAGTATGGCTTGACATTTAGTGGGATTAACTGCAACGCCAAAATTAGATGACCATGTTTTGATCGCAACTAAATCACTATTTAACTGATCAATGGCGTTATCCAATTCATCAATATTTGATTCAGTATATAATTGTAAGTCATCAGCATACAGATGATACGAATACTGAAGCTGGTGAGTGATAAAATCAATAAAAATGGAAAAGAGAAGAGGAGAAAGAATGCCGCCTTGGGGAACGCCAGTTTCTAGACTGCCCCAGGATGACGACAATGTGTCAGTCTGCACCAACTGCTGACGTTCCCGAAGATAAGAAGAAAACCAAGTAGACACTTCGTCAGATACCATAAGATAAGATAGTATAGAAAGAAGGATATCATGACTGACAGTATTGAAGGCGTTGGAGAAATCTATCAGAACTAAACAAGTTATTTTACCTTTCTCCATTCCTGCTCTAATATCGCCAGTCACTTTCAGGAGTGCCGAAACAGTGCTATGTCCTTTTCTGAATCCAGATTGCAGTGGATTCAACAAGGTATTCTTGTGAACGAATTGGGAAAATTGTTTATGGACACAGGCCTCAAGCACTTTCGACATAAAAGGGAGAATAGAAATCGGACGAAATTGATTTAATTCAACTGGATTGGGAATTTTAGGAAGAGGGCGGACATAAGCTTTACGCCAGAGGGTAGGAAAAACGCCGGAATTAAGGGAGGAATTAACAATGTGCGTTATTGCAGGGAGTAGATGGTCAAGTATAATAATAATCATGTGACGACTAATGTTATCACACCCCACTGCATTGGATTTAATGGATAGCATAGTTTTTTTAATCTCTGTCGGTGTCACTTGTGAAAAAAAGAAAGGGTCAATATTTGGACGCGTTAGACCATTTACATAATCTACGGTACGAGACGTAGCTAGACAATCTAAGTTCGACGACGTAATGAAATGACGATTGAGATCGTTTAAGTTTATTGAATTAGATAGATCTAAATGTCGCGATTTCCCGATACCTAGAGTTCCAAGAAACTTCCAGATATCGGCAGAAGATGAAGAAGTGATATTATTGAGAATGTGGCGTCTTTTAGCATTACGTATCATCTGATTACACCGATTCCTAGCAATTTTGAAGAGATCCCGCTTTTCAAGACAACGATCCCTTTTGTAAGTGCGAAAGGCCCGATCCCTACGCCTCATCGCCATCCTCACACCCATTGTCATCCAAGGCGCTGGTGGACGCTTCAACCTAACTCTTCTAACAGGCGCATGCACGTCATAAAGAGCTGTAAGAGTGTTATTAAAGTAGTTTATTTTGTCATCAACAGCGGAAGCCTGAAACAAAGGATCCCAATTAATGTCTGAAGCATCCTTTTGAAGTTGGTTGACATTAATACGGGCAAAGGACCGCCTGTGCAGAACCTTAGGAGAAGATTTCGGGGGCTTAAGAAGGTAGGAGAGGAATATGAGGTCATGACGGGAAAAGCCAGGTGCTACATGTTGACCGTGGGAAGGGACAAGGGAGAGATTGGAGGTTAACATTAGGTCAAGCCATGAGTCATCACCACAAAGATTTAGATGCGTTGGTTGAAGAGGCAAAACGTGCAAGCTTGCAGACTGAACGATGTGAAGAAACCTTCGGGATCGTGTGGATTCAGGTGTTAGGAGGTTGGTATTAAAATCACCCATGATGATGATATGTGCATACTCAGACCCAAACGATTCCAAAACCGCCTCAAATTCGGTGAAATAATCAAGAGATGGAGGACAGTAAACCACACCGAGAATTGCCCTTGCACGTCCCGATCCAATCTCCAGGAACAGGTACTCGGCCTTAGAATCAGAATCAGAGGAAGCAAACACCTTATAAGAGAAAATACTACGCAAATATATGGCCACACCACCTGCGCCCCGACCACATCGGTCGTTCCGAATAAGGGTAAAACCAGGGAGAGTGTAAGTAGAAGATTGAAGGTGTGGCTTTAACCAGGATTCAGATATGAGAATTGCATGTACATTACATCCAGAAAACGCATCGAGAAGCTCATTATAATGACTAGGGACACTTTGGGCATTGATGTGACATACATTGATCAGGTTTGGGGATTCGTTAAAGGTTTGATTGAGAAATTCACTAAGAGTGTCAGTGGCTGAACAAAAGCTTTCATTACTGGATGAGTTCGTAGATTCGTCATTAACAGAGAAATACGAATAGTCATCTAATACCATAAATAATAATTAAATATATATGTATAAAAAATATGATTAATTAAAAATTAAGATGTGCAGACACCTCAGTATCATCACACCACCCGCCAGCTCACAGCAATCACATAAACAAATTTATAAAAACACAATAGAGAACATACACAATACAAAAACGTCCGTGAAATACAACAGACAAGCTATTGCCTTCCCACACAAAAATATACTCATAATTCCGAAAAGGTGACAGAATTAACTCGTTAAATTGCGCGAGTTAGAAAGATAACATTCTGCGTATGAATTTTTATAATTCCATTTTTATTATTACTAGTATAAAATCTTAAATAAGTGCTTTATTTAAGATTTTATTAAATAAAGCACTTATTTAAGGTTGGTAATTAACGATTAGTTATTAATAGATCTATCGATAACTACATGATGTATTTTAGATGCTATACATGTAGTAAGTCATAATATTTATCCATAATAGAAAGGTATTTTTTCAATGTATTCAATGTATTCAATGTACTTTTTTGGTACTATGTATAGTACCAAAAAATACAAAAAACGAAAATCAGTTGCCTAAATATTAAGGCATAGTCTAAGATAAAAATGCATTTCACCAATTACTAGGAACCATATTAAGCAATATCTAAAGTAAAGTCACGTTATAGGGCGCCTTACGCTAGGCAATTGCTTAATATGACAGGCCACAAATGTTTCAAGGGTAAGAAAAATATATTTTGATTTAAATTTTATACATATAACTATTAACTATTATGTCAGATGATGATTCTTTTCATTCAGCTTTTAATGACAGTATTTCCTCCTGTGATAGCTT